AAGTCAAACGGTCCTAAGTTCTGTGCAGTTGGTTTACAAAATGAAACACAATGAGAAGTCAACAGCATTCAGTTTATAGAAATGTTTGCATCCTAACATTTCGTATTGAGCTGTATTATTTGATGAAGGGAAAAATAGCACGGGCGGCATTGCATGGATACTCTTTCTACTAACCTAAAAGTCATAGTCAGATCAGTGGTACATAAAATGCATAAAGGAACACAACCTGAAAGTAGTTCATCATAATTTGTGAGTTTGTACCAAGCGCGCCTCCATATATGACCCGTCCTCCTCTCTTCATAAGAAGTAGCTGCAAGAAAGAAAAGAAGCCATCTATCTAAAGGAGTCAAAAGCTTATGCTTTTACTGAGATAGAACAATAAAATAGGTTATAATGCATACCGCTGTGATTAACCTATTGGAACCAAATCTATCTAGATTTCTTTACACTTTCAAAACATCATTATTTAAATACTTAAAAAACAAATATTAATAGGAAAAAATCAAACAGACTAGCTTGCGTGGTGAGAGGAAAAAAGACAGGCAAGCAAAGAAACTTCTGTGACTTAACACTAATAATCATCATAAAATATTAAAATGCACTCAAAAGAGAAAAAAAAAACTAAATAAAAAGTAATTTATACCTTGCTCTTCTATTTTGAAACCAAACTTCCACTTGCCTTGGCCTCAGATTAAGCTGCTTAGCAAGAGCAACCTTCTGCTTCTGCAACACAAAATACCCAATCCTATTAACAACTCAAATTCTACAAATAAAAAAATGATAAAAACAAAAGTTTCTTTTCTAAACGGCGGTAAGCTTACCGGGTTGAGAGTATTATGCTCTTTAAAGCTCTCCTCCAAGAACGCAGACTGCTCCTTTGACAACCTCAGCTTCTTCCTCGAGTTCCCATTCTCGTCTTCATCGCTGGCCCTCGAAGATGCCCTTTCCGCTTCCCCATCGTCGGCGAACATGGCGGCTCCGGCAGCGGCGATGGCAACGGCGGAGAACTCGACGTATGCTGTTGGGGCATACAGACACCGTCCTCGCGGTCCCGTCCTCTTTTTTTCCTAATTTCTGAAACCAGATCAAAAAGAACCCCAAACCTTACACCTCTCGTCCTTGATGCTCGTCGCCAATCCCTTAAGCGTCATCTTCAGATCTTCCACCGGATTAAATCTAACGAAAAAAGAAAAGAAAAACAAATTTTCGTTAGAGGTAAGGACTATCTCTTCGAATTAGGGTTTTGGAATCCATAAAGCTCAACTGGAGAGGGCGGCGCCGACGGTGGAGGTGGAGGGGGGATGAGGGGGATCTCGGCGCGGCGGGAGAGGGATCCGTCTGGGTTGAGCGAGATCCGAAGGTTTTGGTGAGGGGGATGGGCGTCGAGACGAGAGAGAGATTTAGGGGTTTTTGGATGGAGAGGGCCAAAGCGGAACAAAAAGAGGAGGGAAATGAAAAAATAGCGGGGAAATGGAAAAAAAAAGGAAAAAAAATGTTTCAAGGCCCTAAAAAAAGATACAGATGTAGATGTGGCTCAGCCCCACCAACTTTTTCCTTTACTCTTTAACCCTTAAAATCCTAAAAAACATGTTCAGCCCCCTTTTAACACTCTCCAATGAATACATCCCAAAACATTCTGAAAATACCCCTTCCTTATCTTCTTCTTCTTCTCTGTGGTTTTCTCCTCCCCCTCCTCCTCCTCTCAATCTCAATCTCCTCCCCCTCCTCCTCTCAATCTCCTCTCCTCCTCCTCTCAATCTCCTCCCCCTCCCCCTCCTCCTCTCAATCTCCTCTCAATTTCCTCCCCTCCTCTCAATCTCCTCTCAATTTTCTCCCCCTCCCCCTCCTTTCAATCTCCTCCCCCTCTCCCTCCTCCTCTCAATCTCACCTCTCCCCCTCCCTCTCCTAGTGGTGGTCCTCCACCGCCGTCCTCTATTTTGATCAGCCCCTCTCCTATGTCACCCGCTCCTTCGCCACCCACCTCTCAATCGCCGGCCAACGCTCCACCATCGTCTCCTACTCAGGGCAGCCCTCTACTTGTGACCTCGTTGTTGTTGCGTCAGGTAGAGGATTGAAAGAATTTATTTTGGAATATTGTGGTTGGATTAAAATATGAGTTTTGTTGGGAAAAGTGTGTTTGAGTGTATGATCAGAGGATTGAGCTTGGTGGGTATGGTTGAGGATGTAAAGAAGGTGCTTGATGAAATGGGTCACTTGTGGTTTAAGCCATCGGGGTTTGAGTATAGAGTAGTGATTCAATGATATGGACGATTAGGATCGTTTAAGGAGATGGGGAGGGTGATAGGGAGAATAGGCGATGCTGAAATTGGAATTTATACGATTTGTGTGGGTTTGGTGCTCTCTTGTTATGCTGAATAATGAGGAGGCTTTGTCGGTTAAGGAATTGGCTGACGCATCAGTCTTACTTGAGAAATTGGCAAGTCTCGAACTTATGAGGGATTAATTCAAATAAAACACTTCTCGACTTGCCGTTGGCAAGCCTCGAACAATGGACCTTTTGAAATACTAAAACATAAACTTTCCACTAGGCTACTAAGCATTTATGAAAAGTACTTGTAGTTAATATATATAGTTTGAAAACTCATTTTGGAAAGCATTTTTGAATAAAAAATCCAACAGATAGTAGGCTCATAAACATGAGACCTAACAAAGGGTATTCTTAAAAAACACAAAAATTCTATAGAAAAATATTTCCCGATTATTTGTATCCCCACATGATGTCAATAATTATATAAAATAATTTGACGAAATTTTGCATCCATGGAATATACGGGAAAACAAATACCAAGTAGTCAAACAATGTCAAGGCAGAGAAAAAAATCATTGCTCTAATACCAAATGTTAAGCATATTTACAAATAATATATGCTATCAAAATGAATAAACTGAATGCGGAAGAGATCAGTATATCCCGGCCATTGACGCTTTTGCTTAGGGACGCCTTTAACGCTCTATGTTTTTGGTGTTCTTCTACGCTCTCAGTCATTCTTATGATGGTGTATAGAAAATATCAAGAGAGAGTAAATTGAGCTTAGGGACCCAAAACCCTTTTAATTATATTTATAGATGTTCTCCCATCAAGCACGTCAAAACTTAGGGGTAGTTACCACAAAAATAGGATCAGATTAATCACCCATTTAAATGTGTAGTTACAACAAAAATTAATGAACGTTGGACCACTTCATGAGTGGTTAATACCACCCCAAGATTCCAGGTAACAAACTTACATGGGGATGATCCAAGACTTGCAGAATCCATTCAACAAGTCCGATAATAGATCGGGCCTCCTCTTGTATTCTCATGTCATGAGAACATCAGACGCACTAACTAACATGGTTGGCGGATCCGGGTACAGACGATGATCCAAGATTTGCAAAATATATATTAACAAGTCCATTAATATTTTGCCGCTGTATGATGGTAAGTACTCCGGCGGTGGACGGAGTTGGGGAGGTCAAGTGCAGAAGGACAGGATTCAAGACGGCGGCGGTGCAAGCTGGGACTATTGCTTGTTTTCATTAATTTAATTGACAGATGATATATGATATTGTTTGAAACTTATAACTGATATATACTTAAATACACAGAAATGAATTAAAAAAACAATTCAAAAGATTACAAATAACTTCACATGCAAAGTAACTACTTCACTATACCACCACGAAAGAAGGGAAAAGAACTAAAAGATTAGCTAAATATCATCCTTGTCTTGGTCTCTCTTCTCTTTTCTTCTACTTCTTGCACCACCCCTCCATCTTGTGCTTTCTTGTTTCCATGGACATGCATCTGATGTGCATACAACTCAGATTTTGCATTTGGACTAATCAAACCATAGCACGACAACAAGTTGTCTCTATTAACGTACTACGTACGCCCTTTAACTTATCAAAGTGTGGGACTATCGTTTGGCTCGAAGCTCGTTCAAGGCAGGCTTATCAGATCGAAGGGATGGCCGGCCACGTAAAGGGGGAGGAGACTCTTTTCTTGTCTTCATTTCTACCTTGGATGAAGTCTCTCTTGCCTTCTTCTTCAACATATAGTCATCAATCTTAGTACTCCTCTCCGCTAAAATCATCTCTCTATCTAGCTCAGACATCTTCTCCTGCTCTTCCTTGTCCTCCTCATCTTTGTATAGATCACTCCCAACTGGAGGAGCATTATCCGAATCATCTCCACTAAGCCTGCCGTCATCATCACCGTCATCTCCTTCGACTCCTCTCCCTATATCTTCATGTGTATCCGAGGATTGGTTGCCCCCGGCCCTGGGTTGCCCCAGCCCCGGGGCTTGGTGGGCTTAACCCCAGGGCTGGCCCTGAGTGTGGGACATTCACATTCATCCTACTACCTATAGGGAGTCTTGAAGGTCGATCTTGAGAGCTTAGGAAGCATGAAGAGTCCGAGACATCCACACACAAAGGCACAGGCGGATGCAAGAGCAAATGCTGAGATGTTCCCCTTGCCGAAGTTTTGGTCCCACGTACCTGAACCAAGAACCACTATCACCTGCAACAATCGAATCAATCAAGCAAAACATTAACGTTATATGTTAGTTCCATGAAGTTGTTGATATGGTTTTATTTAAGATAAATTACAGAAAGTCCTTTAAGGTTATAGTTTCAAAAGTTAGGGGTTGACACTACCACATAATTGATCTATTGCAGCGGTTAAGACGCAACGGTTCTAACTATTACGTTAGATATCTATCGTAACGGTTTACAATGGCTAATACAACATTAAATGAAAAATGTTGCCATAGGCCAAATAATTGTTCATGGGCTTAATATTTCTTCGTGGGTTTGGGAGTTAAGTTTGTAAAGCCCACTGCAACCAAATATCTCTCTCTCAAATGCAATCCCTAAAATCGCCTCCAAATTTTTCCGATCCCTAAAATCGCCATGGCCAAAACCTCGTCGCCGTTTTCGGATCGGATCGTACCTCTAAGCTCCTCTCCGATCTCCAATCTCGTTGATTTCATCGCCGAGCTACTCCCTGGTTTCTAGGGTTTGCCGTTCTCTCAAATCTCCTCTCAGATCTCATCTCCGAGCTACTAATCTCGGCGTCATGCTACTCTCGTTGCCATTCCAGTCTTGTTCGTCGTCGTCAAGCTACTAATCTCGTCGTCAAGGTACCTCAGTTCCTTGCATTTCTGATCTCTACAATTTCTTCCCCCTTTCTATCTTTAAAAATCTCTTCTTCATTTTTTTAGGTGCTGCGGATAACATCGATTGCTGCATTAATCACGATCCATTGCTCTAGGTCGATCCCTGAGGTAAGATTTCTTAACCTAAAAGCTATTTCTTCTCAAAAAAAATTGGATTTATTTGTTTTCTATTGGGTAATGACAGAATGTTGGTTGTGATTAGCTACTAGGTTGTAATGACAGAATGTTGGTTGTGATTAGCTACTAGGTTAGGCAAGTGGGTTAATTAAATTGAGGGGATTTGCTTATATCTTGATTTAAGTAACTGTTGGATCACTGTTTTATTAATCTTTAAATTTTTTGATTTTCTGCGGGAAATTTGGGGAAATTGTGGACATGCTTCAATTTATTTTTCATATTATAGATGATTTAAATTTGTAATTTTTCATTTTACAGGTTTAAAAAATGATGGAGAAAGATGGAAGGGTAAGAATTTAATTTTCTATTAATACCATTGTTTTTGTTTCTTTTGAACATACTGTTGTTCTTGCTGTTTCTGGTCAATTTAGAGCTTAACTAAAGATTTGGCATTCTCAAAATGCAAGGGTAAGAATTTAATTTTCTATTAATGCCATTGTTTTTATGCGTCACTTGATATTTTTTTCCTGAAAAGGAACCATTGTTAGAAATAAAAATTAGTTTAATTCAGATATGGTTGTTTATCAAATTGTTTATTTAAATTTTTTTTATGTATTTTATTTTTTTAGTTCAACAGCAATTAATAATGTAGTTTTATACTTTACAGTCTCATAATCTGAAGCCGATACAAAAAAGTTGCATAACGAATGGAGGAAAACAGCAATTCTTTTATTCCACTTGCCTGTTTTTAACTGATACATAAGTATTTCCTAATTTTATTATATATATTATGATGGTTGTATTATGAACCCCTCTTGAGGGAACCCCTAGCTCCGTCAGAACTATGCTTATAATGTTAATACATGTAGTTTGACGTACGTATAGACAGTATGATGTACGTATAGATCGACATGCGACTGCGCGCGCACACAGATAACATCCCTCACTCTCATGTATCCAAGGATGCCAAGTGATATGAAAACAATTGAAGGGTGACAAGTACAACTGAAAATATTGGTGAGGGCGTTTTATATGCAATTTACCCTGTATATGTACACATATACACATATATATGTACATATGCGCACATACACTTAATTTTTTTATGTAAAAGGTTGAAAATACTCAACATAAATTCTAAATGCAATGATCGACAGGAGATGATTTAATCCACCTGACTTTCCATTACACCTTTGTGACTAATATTTTCTTGATAATATCCATTGGAGTTTCCAGCATTCCCATGCTTGGCTACCTCATTTCCGTTGCTCAAGGATGAGGGACCTGTATATACATGGTAATTAGATGTTTACAACTTGACATTTGACCATTCAATTCTTTATTGTATTAGTCCACATCAATATTGTGATCAGCTTCTATACTACATCAATGAATGTGCCGATATTATCTAGTGCTTGAATAAGAATTTGTGCTACTCCAGAAGGTAGTTCAATTGAACATCCTTTCTTTAGGTTCCGGAAGCTGCAGTAGCTAATCATTTTAGTACTGTGCTGCTCAATAACTATAACAGCCAATCTATTCTACAAAACCACTTGCACCGCACCATTTTCCAATTTCTTGCACTAAAGGGGGCCTCCATCTGAGTTTCACTCCCTAGTTGAGCATGCCACCAGTTTCCATCTTTTGCTTTTATTAATCGATCGTCTACTGATTTCCCTTTTACTGTAACTTTAAACATTACCTTCGACAAAATGTACAAAATTCTGAGTTCACTGTCACTAGCCTGTGAATTCTCAACACATTCAACAAGCAACGCATGACATATTAACTTTCGTGTGATACTTGATTTTTCCTTCAACAATATCCACCCCTAATCTCTATATAAACCTCACTGCATTAAGCTCGAAATAACATAGAAGATATAAAGTGCCTGCAGGATAACTTAACAAAGATTTAGGAGCTGCACAAATTAAAGGGTGGGTTTTGAAATATGGAGTTGAAGAAGGTTTTCGCATTTGGTTTGCTTTTTGAGCTCATATCTCTGGCTACTGGCCTGGATCGAAGTGATTTCCCTTCTTCATTTCTCTTCGGCACTGCAACTTCATGCTATCAGGTAAGAATCATCACGAGAACGTACACTTTTTTTTTGTCATACAAACTGTGAAGTATACGGAATGGAGAGATACAACTTCACACTTTCTGATCAAACCTGCAGTACTTTTCTTTTCAGAAAATAAAGTTAATAATTTCTTTGCGAGCGGGTTTTGTGCACCGCATTTTCTTTGATAAGAATGAGCTGGAGGTTTTCTACCCGCGATGCATCGTTAAAGTTGCCAAAGTTGCTCAAAATACCTACGGGTGTGACTACATGTATGAGAAACTTTTGAGCACGGATTTGTTTACAACAGAATGATATTACTTATTTTATTAGCCACAAATTAATTAAACACTTCAAGTGCTTTTTTTAGCATACATTTGGCAGTCCATATAAATTCCAGGATGGCTTTGGGATATCAATTTACAGACACATCCTGCTACAACCTCGTATACAAACGTTTGTATTCGAAAAGTATTCGAAGATATTAATTTTCAGGAGTGCTCACCTAGTTATTTTGTTTTTTTCCCAGATTGAAGGTGGATATCTAGAAGGCAACAAAAGTCTGAACAATTGGGACGTCTTTACTCACATGCCAGGTAAAATTTTATTAACATTAATTTTTGCATAATCTATTATATTTCGAATATTCCTTTGCTGACCAAGACCTGGAAGCATTCAATAATACAAACAGTAATTTTATTCTATTGTAACCCCCCTCAAAAAATAAAATAAATAAATAAAAACCCGTCGCGTGCATTACTTCTTTCATAATCTTGTTCCCTTAAATTTTGGTGTTTTATCAGGAAATATCAAGGATGGGAGCACTGGAGATGTTGCTGATGATCACTACCACCGATACATGGTCCACATTTTAATCATACCATATAGACATAAATTATTTAATCAAGTTCTTGTTACATGATATTATCTGAGTTTTTGCCCCTTTTTTCCTCAAAGATTCTGTCATCTGCCGCCCCCAGATATTTTGCTAGGCTATAATTGCAGATCTCATCAAATTTTAGAATTTAGCTGGCTGAAAAAATCGGGGAGCTGACTAGATGAGTAACATGAAATTTTTTTAGAATTTACCTAGTTTTCTATTTTTTTCTGTTTATTCTCTTTGCTATAGCCTTCTGGAAGCAAGCTCCTTTAAAATATTTGTGATTCTTCCTTTTTCTGATGCTCCTTCTGTTTATTCTCTTTGCTACAGCATTTGGGTTATTTGCTCTTCTGTTAATAGCTCATTGAAAGAGAGACACAGATGTTTAAACAATATTTTATCTTTGCACACTACCACATATTTGCTCTAACGCAACAGTTCTAGTGCAACGTTTATGACCGTTGCGTTAGGTATCTATGGGGGCGGTTTTACAACGCTTTGACAACGGTTTACAAAAACCGCTTCGCTAGGCCCAATTATAAGCTGGCTTGGGCTTAACACTGAAACGAAATCTCATTTTTTTCTCACCGCTTTACCAAATATCCCTCTTTCTCTCTCACTCAACTCATCACCCCTTTCTAAAATCTCCCTCTTCGTTCGCTCTGAGAGATCGCCATGGCCGAAATTCGTCGATCTCATCGCTTAACTCGTCGCTAATCTCTTCGCCGTTTTTCGATCTCATCGTCTCCGACCTCAACTCTGATTTCGTCGTCGATCTCGTAACTAATCTCTTCGTCGAGCTGCTGGTCTCGTCTCCGATCTCATCTCCGATATAGGTCGTCGAGCTCGCAGCTAATCCGTCTCCGATCTCACTCTCCTTTGGACTCTCAGGTACCTTGTTCCTTTAATTTCTGATTTCTACAGTTTCTTCCCCTTTCTATTAGGGAAATTGTTTAGTTGTTGATGGCCTTTTATCTCGCAGTAGCTTACTAATCAGTTTATCTCGCAGCTAATCCGTCTCCGATCTCATCTCCGACCATTTCTCGCAGGCACAAGACGAGATTACATATTGGACAGCTAGTGAAAGATACATCAGCAAAGCTTAAACAAGGTAGTGAAAACGATCACCGTGTTGAAGTTAGCGTGAGTCTTTTACAACAAACTCCTTTCAGTAACGATTTTTTTTTGGTATTTTGCTTTTAGCGTTTTTGCAGTGCTTTGAGAACTCTGTCCTCAGTATTTTACAACAAACTTGTATTAGTCATGCATTATCTGCTAATTCACCGACAGCCAGAGTGAGAGATTGTTGGGATGGAAGTTGGGGGAGGTTGTTTTTGCTTGGCACGGCAAGGGGGGCTCATGACTGTTGATCACCACTATGATTAGTGTTTAATTTGTTGTTGTGTAGATAGGGGATTAGGATTTGATTATATGGGGTTTTTTGTGGGGGGGATTGGTTATGGATACACGTAGTATGTAAAGATGTTGGGTTTATTTGTTTGTTTGGATGTCCTGAGAGGCAAACTGTGTGCCGAAATATTTTTCACGGGCAATGAAGCATATAAGCACGAAACATGACACATAATGACACACAACAGATCCTTAAAGCAATGAAGCATATAAACTGTTGCTAGTTTCATTCATGTTTTTGTTAATCCTTCCACTCATGCAATGTTGTGTTCATAAATTTCTTTACTTTCACTACTAATGTGAAAGTAATTACACATTTAAAGTAAAGTACAGTAGGCTTTTTCTCTACTTGTTTACACTTCTCAAGTAAATTTTCTCGATCAGGGCTCTGTTGTACATGTTGTCACGGGGAAAGAGGGAAACATGGGCTCTTGCAGGAGTTCACCTCTTTACTCCAACTTGTAATTTATTCACGCAGAAGAAGAAAAAGAAAATGATGATATGGCTAAGGTTTTTTTATAATAATTTTTATACTTGAGGAGCTTTGGAAGGTGAAGCTGGATTTTCTGAGATGACACTTTCAGATCAGAGTATCTAACCAGACCAGAGCAGTGCATTGAACTCATAGTTTGGAAGTTCTCTCGACTTTAAGATATTATTCTTATAGCAATGTACCATGACTATGCTTCTAACTGTTGAAGTGTTGAATGCACTTATGTCTTTAGTAGTTATTATATTATTATTTTGTAGGATATTCACAACAATGAAGTATCAATTGCATGCCACCTTTTAATATAAAGTCCTCAGTTTGGACTTCTCACTTGTATTTTTTTATAATCTTCAGAATAGTACGGTTGTAGCATATATGACTTGCAATGTAACTGTTAATAGTGTTAATCAGAATAATGTTGATTGAATATATTGTTATTAATGGCAACAAGAGGATTGATTTTTACATTTCATTAATCACAATATTTATATGTAGTTATTAATAGTGTTAATCAATTTTTTCTTTCTCCAGACCATATAATAAATGGCGGAAAACAGAGATTGGATGTATATCGCTCCAAGAGTGAGTGTGGAGTTCATTAATAATGTCAATGACTTTCTTGAGAGAGCATTTGCTAATGGAGTAGTAGGGTATGAAATATGTTGCCCTTGTCGCATTTGTTGTAATCGTTTTTGGTATAGTCGTGATGTTGTTTATGATCACCTTATTGTCAAAGGATTTGTAGAGAATTATTATGATTGGTTCTTTCACGGAGAGGGTGTGTCATCAAGGATGGATGTTGATGACGATAATGAAGAAGCTGATGATGTTGCTGATGATGCTCAAGACAATCTGGATGGGTTATTGCATGATGTATTTAGAGATGTAGCAGAAGAGTCTCCAGTGAACCAAGAAGATGGCCTAAGTGACCATGAAGAAAGGTTAACTAAGGAGGCAAAGAAGTTTTATAAGTTAGTTGATGAAGGTAAGCAGGAGTTGTTTCCGGGATGTAAAACTTTTTCTAAACTCTCTTTTATCATCCGGTTGTATCTTCACAAGTGCATCCATGGCCTAAGCAACGAGGCATTTGATGATTATCTAGCTATATGGAGAGAGGCAATTCCTGAAATAAATCTACCAAAGTCTTATTATGAGGCCAAAAGAATTGTGAAGGATTTGGACCTTGATTACAAGAAGATACATGCTTGCCCTAATGATTGCATGCTTTACCGTGGAGAAGATGGAGAAAAAGTTACTTGCAGTAAATGTGGTGAAAGTAGATGGAAGGCAAATAAGCAGGGTGTTCCAGCCAAGGTTTTAAGATATTTTCCTTTAAAACCTAGAGTTCAAAGACTATTCATGTGTTCTCAGACTGCTGAATCCATGAGCTGGCATGCAAAAGAGCGCCTCCAGGATGGGAATCTAAGGCACCCAGCAGATGGCAAAGCATGGAAGGATTTTGATTCCAATCATCCTGATTTTGCACTAGACCCTCGTAATGTGAGGCTGGGCTTGGCTAGTGACGGGTTTAATCCATTTCGGACTATGAGCATTTCGCATAGCACATGGCCGGTGATCTTGATAAATTATAATTTACCACCCTGGATGTCTCTAAAGCCAGAATATTTCATGTTGTCTTTGCTTATTCCAGGGCCTCAGTCCCCTGGGAATAATATCGATGTTTACTTGCAACCGTTGATTGATGACTTGAAAGAGTTATGGGAAGTCGGGTTGCTTACTTATGATGCTTCAAGTAAACAACCATTTTATGTTCGTGCAGCTTTACTTTGGACTATAAGCGACTTTCCAGCATTTGCAATGTTGTCCGGATGGAGTACTAAAGGGAAGTTGGCTTGTCCTTGCTGCAACTATGGCACACTTGTTCACAATATTTAAAATACAGTAGGAAAATGTGTCACATGGGTCATCGTCGATTTTTGAGTGATAATCATCCATGGCGGTTAAATAGAAGAAACTTTAATGGCCATGTTGAGTTAGGAAAAGAACCTGAATCATTATCTGGGATAGAGATTATGGAGGAATTGCGTGGCTTTGTTAATGACTTTGGGAAGAAACAGAAGAAAAAAA